AGTACTGCTTATTATGAAAAGATCAAAGATCATATTTTGTATTTCAATGTGTAATAATTGTGTGTGAATTTGGGCAAGCTACTTAACCTGTCATATTTTCCTTGCTTTAAAATGGTTATAATACAGTAAAACCTTGGATTGCAAGTAACTTGTTCTGGGAGTGTTCCGCAAGATGAACAGACATTTCTAATAAATTTTAACTTTGATAAATGAGTGATGACTTGCAATATGAGTAGTACATGATGCCAAATGTCATATGATCACAACTGGGCCAATGGTTCTTCTCTCTCACTGTGGGATTGTGGGTGATTGTCTTCCACGCTTGGATGCTTGGTCTCAGACTGCAGTGTTTGGCAGCAGGCAGTGATTTTTCAGAACATTGGAAGGTCCCCAAAACTGGCACTAAGGTATATTTTGTCACTTCATAGGGACCTATGAATAGTCCTTTGTTTTTCCATAAAAGAGTAAGCTTAGGAATGCTTTGCTTCCATCTAGGTCAGGCTGCCTGCAGATATAGACCCTTTCCTTGGCCGCCTTATTGCCAGTTATATTAAATACAGTATATGACAAGAGTTAATTAATACTGTACTTTGGTCAGCATCTTTGTGAGCACATACAATGGCCCCCATGCAGAAAAATTCCATTAAGCTGATAGGTAGTAGTGATTCCATTAGTGATAGTAGAAGTCATCCTACACAATAACCCTCCTCTCTCTTATCTCCCTCACACCAGCCACAAAGGTTTTCAAAGGTAAGTGCAGGTTAATTTGTTTATTTTTCTTTATATTTTTTATTATTTATATTATATTACAGTATTGTAATCATTTCTATATCAATATTTTTGGGTTGTGGAGCAAATCATCAGAGTTTCCATTATTTCTTATGTGGAAATTCGCTTTGATAAACAAGTGCTCTGGATTACAAGTATGTTTCCAGAACGAATTATGTTCACAAACCAAAGTTTTACTGTACTGCCTCTTACATGTATTGTGAGACTATATTAAGTTAACCTTTACTGTGCTATGAAAAGACTGTCCAATACACATTAAACACTAAGATTTTGTTACAGATCTAAAGTAAGGAGTACAATTCACACAGACACATGTTTTCCAGAAAACACTAATTTATTTAAATTTATTATATTCAAAAAGTGATTTTCTTAAATGACATTTGAGGTTGGTCCACAAAACTTTATTAATATCTATTCTTGGGTGAAACTACAAGATGAAGATACTCTCATAATATTCTGTGCTATATGTTTGGAAACAGCATATTCTCCAAAGAACTACTTCAGAAATTTTAATTAGTGGTATGTCATAAAAGCAAATATTTCAAGTGGTTCCTTATTAATTTGTATATTTGAAAATATAGTTTTTTTTTACAATGCAAACCTAACCATAAAGCGACCAATTAATTATGGGATTTGACTTGATTATACTAAACACCATTGGTGTTACTCAATTTGAGACTAGAATCTTCTGGATATCCTGCTCTATTTTGGAAAAAAACACAGTGCTTTGGCACATAAACATAGTATGCTGGAGTGGCTTTCCATATTTTTTACCAAATCAATGGGTTAAAAACTCTATAATGCTTACATACCTTTTTTCTACTGAAACAATTTATGTTATAATATTGATTTGATAATGGATGGCTTCTTAAGAATGCACCTAACTGCAATGGAACAGAAGGTGTATAGCATTTTTCAGTTTCAAAATGTCAAAATTATTCATTAAGTATTTCCTGCAATTATCCCATTAAGTCAGCATTAATATTTCCATTATGCAAAGGATGCATTGAATCATATAAATTGAATAATATAAATAAATGGAAAAATGTACGAATAATAAAACAAAATTGAATGATTGTAGTGCTTGGTGGATGGTTTACCATTCTAAAGTTTCACTGTTTACTGGGCAATGATGGTGGAGTAGAGTAAAACTTTTCTCATATAAAAAAAAGGTAATGATTTATGACATTATTAATTGTCTAAATGCCATCTGGACAGATGGATTTCATTCTGAAATTAATTTTCAAAAAGTTTACAAGAGTTTAGAAATAATAATTTATTTCTATCTGCATACCATATTTGGTCAGCTGGCTATTATTTCCTAGCCTGTTGGCACTGATAATTTGGATCAGTTTGTATTTCAAACCACTCAGGCACTTAATAGCTTATAAATGTTTATACTGGGACCAAAATAGAGAAGCAAACAATTTTTGAAGGAAAACATCAGTTTGTATACCAGCCATGGACAATATTCAGTAATGTTGGCTTCATTTTTTATTGTTAGTTTCACTCTCTCTGTTTTTGAAGCCAAGTCCTCATATAGACTCCGTTTCCATATCCGCCCAAAATAAACTTTCAAATAACGTATTTTCAAAATTAAAACTATCTAAAGCTACAAATTTTCTCATAGATTGTTACATTTATTCAGGTGTCCCAATATCTCTGCCCTCAGACAGTTGCCTCTCATAATGCTTCTGAGCATCGCCATGCAAAATTCTTTGGCTAATGGATAAGTTTGAGGCTATCCTAGATCAACCAGTCCTAGGTGACCTGCTGGCTGACATGAATGTTGAGGCAGAAGCCCAGTTGAGATAGCCTACATTAGCAGAACTGTCCAATCAACACAGAGATTCATAGGAAATGATAAAATGTTGGTTGTCTAAGAAACTGGATTTTGGGGTGACTGATGTTGCAGCTAAAGCTAACTGGTACAATACAGTTTGTATGGTCAGTCATGAAAAAGTTTCACTCATTGGGCCTGTTTCCAAAGTCCCAAAGCAAATACTCATTAAAAAATGTTTTGAATAGTGATATTCAGGCATTTAAAAAAAATTTTTTTTTTTGCAAGGAAATACATTGGAACTCCATGTAGACTCTTGCTCAGAATTATGTAAGCGAGAAGACTATTTTGAAATCTTACTTTTAATGGATGTCAATGGCCAGTATAAATACTTGTAATACACTAATGATGCTTATATTCATAGCATATGTGTCTGTTTAGATGCATTTTTGTATTTCTTTAGATGTTAAGTGAATTTTAGTTTTGCTGAAATTTTTAAGTAATTGAAAATCTTCTACTTCTACATGTGAACATTTCATTTCATATATATGCAATGCTACTAAAAATTAACATTAGGTAAAAAAAGAAACAACAGATTTTCCTTTATTAGGTGGATCATAGGTAATTATTAGTAAATTTTTCATTACAATTTTCCTTAAATTTCCCTGGTCTGAGGAGAGAGGGGGAAGCTATTCACAGGAAAAGTTCAATGTAGCCTATCAGTGGGAATTTGCTTTATATTTTTATTTACTTTATGTGATAAATTTATCAGTTCATTTTCTAATAGCAAGAAAAGGACCAATGCTATACTTAATGATGAGCACATAATTACATTTGATTTTACTGAATATTTGTAGATTTCAACAATATTTTATGAGAACTATAGATATTATGTCATGTTATCAAATAGCTTATAAATATAACACTCTACTGGTAAACACAAGCAATGTCATTATATATTAATAGCAAATTTCCCGAATTTAAAAAAATAAAAAGACGTGGTAGAATTTAAGAAGTCAAATATGCTAATGGAAGGGATGAAAACTGTAACGTAAATAGGCTTCTATGCCCCGTATACAGCCTAAGGACACGTTTCAAATATAAACATAGAATTATTAAGTCCTCTTTCTAAGGTCTCAAAGGGTAAAGTTTTTATATAATTATTATAATGTTTTCATGTAAATTTTTACTTGTCTTTCACTTTGTAGCCAAATAGGCAATAAATAAAGGAACTTATGCCAGAAGACCAAAAAGTGATATACTGACTTGGGTAAAACAATTTTAATATGTGAATTATATTAAAGTTGACACTGTAATAAGCATATTTTGACCTACATCAAATTGTCATCTCCATTTTTCTCTACTTTCCATACATTTTAAAAAGACAACTCTCAGAATGAAAGTATTTGCAAATTATATATTTGATAAGGGCTTAATATCCAAAAATATTTAACAAACTCTTACAGTTTGATAGCAAAAAAAAAAAATGTGTTGCCAAGAATATGGAGAAATTGGAACCCATCTATACTGCTGGTGGGAATGTAAAATGGTGCAGCCACTATGGAAAACAACGCAAAGGTTTCTCAAATCATTAAAAATAGAGCTACCATATGTATATGACCCACCAATGAATACCACCTCTGGGCAAAAGTCCAAAATAATTGAAATCAGGATTTCAAGGAGATATCTGCACTCCAGGTTCATTGGAGAACTATTCACAATAGTCAAGTTACAAAAACAACTCAAATGTTAATCGACATAAGAATGAATAAAGAAAATCTAGCACATATATCCACACCTTAAAATAAAGAAAATCCTGCCATTTGTGACATGAATGAGTCCTTAGGACATTATGCTAAATGAAATAAGGCAGTAACAGAAAGACAAATATTGCATGATTCCACTTATATGAGGTGCTTAAAATAGTCAAACGAATAGAATGGAGACTAGAATGGTGGTTACCAAGGGCTGGAGTAAGGGGGAAATGTGGAGTTGTTCACTTGGTATACAAGTTTTCAGTTACACACAATGAATTAGTTCTAGAGATCTGCTGCAGCATAGAAACTAAAGTTAACACTACTGTACTATACACTTGAAAACTTGATAAGAGGCTTGATCTTATGTAGACTTATACATAAAACAACAACAACAAAAATAGACACAAGGAAACTTTTGGTTGCAATCGCCATGCCTAATACCTTGGTTTTGGTAATGGTTTAATGAGTGTTTATGTAAGTCCAAACTAATCAAACTGTATATATTAAATATGTGTAGTTTTTTGTGTATCAAGTGTACCTCAACAAAACTGTTTATTTTTTTTAAAGAAAAAACTCTATACACAAACTTACACATTTTCCCAAACCTTCTTTCATATATCTTTGAGATTCTGTTCTTAAAACACAACCACTCTGTATATTCTGAAAGTGGCTCTAGCTTTGAGCAGTGGTCATATCATAGCCAATGAGGCTTATCTGAGGTGTGATTATTGCTAACTGAAAACTTTTCCCAATTACCCCACCATGACACTTGGAAAGTGGCTCTAGGGTAAAAATTATTAATTTAGAAACCAAAAGTGTTTTAAAATCATGTATATATTCCTACAAAACAATTATGTTAGCTTTTGGAAGGCAAATATTTTTTCAATAAATTCATGTAATAATCATTCATCCAATAGTTTATAAAAAACTCAAGATTAGTTTTATATTGTTAGGATATCTCATCTAAAGCCAGAAATGTATATCATTTACAAAAGTGTTGGGATAAGAAATGAAATAGATCTAACATTTAAATTTGTCACTGATGGTACAGATACAAATACATATGAGCTAAGTATATAATGTGTATGGAAAAACTAATATTTAGAAATTGTTACAATCCATGTAAATATTTCATGAAAATAAATAAATCCATGTAAATAAAATCAAATATTTTATTAATTGTCAAAATTTCTTTTGATTAATTCATCCTTTTAACCTCTCACAGTGTCTAGTAATCACATCTGATATCTATTTTGGCATAATGATGTAATAATTTAGTTAATGTTTACCTTTTCTCTGACTGTGACCTCTTGAGGATCATATTTATTTCTAGTTTATCTTCTTATCCCCAGTATCGGCCCATGGACTCATAATCAGTTGATGCTTTTAAAATGACTACTCAGTGAACTAACATCACCTTGTCAATGTTCTCATATTTTTAATAAATATTTTACTATTTTTCCATCTTAGTGCCATAACACATATCCTATTTCTATCTGAGTGCCTTCATTTAGTCTAAACTACTCTGTTTAGGGCAGAAGGTAGGAATCTAATCAGAGGGAACAGGAAGAGATTAAAAAATAAAGAAGCAGATGACAACAAAAGAAATAGAAAGTCAGTCCAAAGACAGAATTAAGTAACAGCACCAGGATATCACCATATAAATATGCAGGGTGGAGGAGAACCTAAAGTTTTGGATTTTATGAATCTATCTACTGCATGATGCATACAGTTAGATAAGCAGGCTTTCATAGTGTCTAACCCTGTTAACTAAAATTATATAAACAGTTGATGAAAACATATAATATTTTTAGATAGGCTAATAAAATGCAATTAGAACAGAGAATTCATCTAAATAACTGTAATATTACTACATTGATTCTAAAATATTTCCAATACAAAGTTCTCAAAAGTTGATACTAACCTATGTGAAATTCTTGTAAGTCATTAGTGAATTTTAATGAAATATTCATTGACTTGAGTTTATAAGCATTAATTAAAATTCACAAATGTGTGCTTATGGACAAGCTATCAAATTTGAAAACATAAAAGGCCACATTTCATGTACATGTGAGTTCACGTACCTTATCTGAAAATTAATTTTTTATGAAATTTAATGCCTTAGCCATCCAAAATAAACATTCTTACTATATTACATTCAGGATCTTTGCAAATAATTGGAATAACACTTATTTGTGTCAACTAATATGCAAATTAATGAAAAAAACGGTCAATTGCACTAAGCCAATATATTTAAGGTGGTCTTAATGGAGGCCATCCTTTTTTCTTTCTTTTCTTCTTTTTTATACAAGTAGTTTACTGTCAAATTAGTTTCCACATAACACCCAGTGCTCATCCCCACAAGTGCCCTCCTCCATGCCCATCCCCGCCCCCCACATCCATCAGTCCTCAGTTTTTGTCAGCATTCAAGAGTCTCTCATGGTTTGCCTCTCTCCCTTTCCCCCACCATTTCCCCCCTTCTTTTCCCCCTTGTTCCTCAGTTAAGTTCCTTCTAATCCTCCTATACGTGCAAACATATGATATTTGTCCTCTGCCTGACTTATTTCGCTCAGCATAACACCCTCAAGGTCCATCCATGTTGCTACACAAGGCCAGATTTCACTGTTTCTCATTGCCATGTAGTATTCCATGGTATAGATAAACCACATCTTCTTGATCCTTTCGTCAGTTGATGGACACTTAGGCTCTTTCCATGTTTTAGCTATTGTGGAGAGTGCTGCTATGAACATTGGGGTACATGTGCTCCTATGCCTCAGCATTTCTGTATCCCTTGGGTAAATTCCTAGCAGTGCTATTGCTGGGTCATAAGGGAGTTCTATTGTTAGTTTCCTGAGGAACCTCCACACTGTTTTCCAGAGGGGCTGTACCCGTTTACATTCCCACCAACAGTGTAGGAGGGTGCCCGTTTCTCCACATCCTCGCCAGCATCTAGAGTTCTCTGATGTGCTCATTTTAGCCACTCTGACTGGCGTGAGGTGGTGTCTCAGTGTGGTTTTGATTTGTATTTCCCTGAGGAGGAGGGATGCTGAGCATCGTTTCATGTGTCTGTTGGCCATCTGGATGTCCTCTTTGGAGAAGTGTCTGTTCATATCTTCTGCCCATTTCTTCACTGGGTTGTTTGTTTTTCGGGTGTGGAGTTTGGTGAGTTCCTTATAGAGTCTGGATATTAACCCTTTATCTGATATGTCATTTGCAACTATCTTTTCCCATTCCGTTGGTTGCCTATTAGTTTTGTGGGTTGTTTCCTTTGCCGTGCAGAAGCTTTTAATCTTGATGAGGTCCCAATAGTTTATTTTTGCTCTTGATTTCCTTGCTTTTGGGGATGTGTCAAGTAAGAAGTTGCTGCGGTGGAGGTCAAGGAGGTTGTTTCCTGCTTTCTGCTCTAGGGTGTTGATAATTTCCTGTCTCACATTCAGGTCCTTTATCCATTTTGAGTTTATTTTTGTGCATGGTGTGAGAAAATGATCTAGTTTCATTCTTCTGCATGTTGCTGTCCAGTTCTCCCAACACCATCTGTTAAATGTTCTTGATCCATTTTTTTTCCATTGGATATTCTTTCCTGCTTTGTCAAAGATCAGTTGGCTGTATACTTTTGGGTCCACTCCTGAGTTCTCAATTCTGTTCCATTGGTCTATTGTCTGTTTTTGTGCCAATACCATACTGTCTTGATGATGACAGCTTTGTAGTAGAGGCTAAAGTCTGGGATGGTGATACCTCCCGTTTTGGTTTTATTTTTTAGTATTACTTTGGCCATTCGGGGTCTTTTGTTGTTGGAAAGGATATTCTTTATAGTAAAAAATAAAAAAGAAATGAGACATAGTTGGGCCAAGAAAAATTTTGTGTCCCAGGTTTTTTGTTGTTTAATATTTGCTTTTATTTATGTAGTTAGTGATGACCCTTAGTTGGTAATTACTTCCCCAATTCTATACATTAATGCTTCCCTTTGTGTTTTTATTCCTGTCCTAGGAAAAGCATTTAGAATCTCTTTACATTTCTTTCCCAGTTTCACATACTAGCATGAATAAAGACCATACAAAATATCACATCTCTGATTTTTGTTCCTAGTTTATATTTGATCACATAAATGTAATATCCCTTTTGAAATTCATAAATAGGATAATCTCATTTACTGCTAATTAAACAGGTAAATTCAGTTCACTTCAGTGAGCATTTACAAAGGACCTATTGTGGGTTAAGCACTATATTAGGTTCTGATTATACAAACATTCTCTGATGTTTTTGAAAGTCAGTTGTTTAGTGGACCAATAATTTACTTTTAGTGAGAAATATGAAGTTGAAAACCTAAATTTTACATAATGAGTTGTATCTCGATAAATCTTTCAGTGTGCTTCTTCCTTCAGAAGAGATTGAGCAGGGGCGCCTGGGTGGCTCAGATGGTTAAGCATCCAACTTTGGCTCAGGTCATGATCTCATGATTTGTGGGTTCAAGCCCCGCATTGGGCTCTGTGCTGACAGCTAGCTCAGAGCCTGGAGCCTGCTTCAGATTCTGTCTCCCTCTCTCTCTGACCCTCCCCCTGCTCGTGCTCCCTCTCTCTCTCTCTCTCTCTCTCTGTCTCAGAAATAAATAAAACATTGGAAAAAATAAAAGAAGGGATTGAGCAAAAAGACTTCTAATGGCAACAAGACTTTCCTTAAAAGCTTAAAAGCAAAGGAGACAATGTACCATGACATCAGCTTCAGCTAAAATGACCTCATTTCCACCAACAATGCAAAAGGGTTCCTGTTTCTCCACATCTTCACCAGAATCTATAGTTGCCTGATTTATTCATTTTAGCCACCTTGACAGGTGTGAGGTGGTATCTCAGTGTGTATTTCCCTGATGAGGAGTGATGCTGAGCATTGTTTCATGTGTTTGTTGGATCTTGCACCATTGGTGGGACTGCAAACTGGTGCAGCTGTTCTGGAAAACAGTGTGGAGGTTCCTCAAAGTTAAAAATAGAACTACCTCATGACCTACCAATAGCACTGCTAGGAATTTACCCAAGGAATACATAAGTACTGATGCATAGGTGCATATGTACCCCAATGTTTATAGCAGTGGTTTTAACAATAGCCGAATTATGGGAAGAGCCAAAATGTCCATCAACTGATGAACAGATAAAAAAAAAAAATGTGGTTTATATATACAATGAAATACTACTTGGCAATGAGAAAGAATGAAATCTGGCCATTTGCAGCAATGTGGATGGAACTGGAAGGTATTACGCTGAGTGAAATTAGTCAGACAGAGAAAGACGGATATTATATGTTTTCACTCATATGTGGATCTTGCGAAACTTAACAGAAGGCCATGAGGGAAGGGAGGCAAACAATAAGAGACTCTTAAATACAGAGACCAAACTAAGGGTTGATGCCGGGTGGGAGAGAGGAGAAAGTGGGTGATGGGCATTGAGAAGGACACTTGTTGGGATGAGTACTAAGTGTTGTATGGAAGCCAATTTGACAATAAATTATATTTTTAAAATAAAAAACTAAATACATACGAAATCAACAATAGCTATCAGTGCAGGACCACCTAGGTTAGAGTGAAAAGCCTCTATAGTTTCTGAATTTTGACATGAACACTATAATGTACACATCTTATACTTATGTCCTTTCAGCTGGAAACAATTGTTTTCCTGTCAAAATCCTTCAAAAAGATTCATTGTTTACTTTTCAGAGAAGACTGAAGCTTGACTTTGTGCTATCTGTTCCTAGACAGTTCTGCTTATAAGGATGAAAAAATAAATGCCTTGGCCATATCCAAGTGTCAGTATCTAACAGGCAACACAT